TTTTTTTTTTTTTTTTTTTTTTTACTGATCATATTTAAAAAAAAAAATATATTTTTTTTTTTTTTATTTATCAATTTTTAAGAAAAATATATATATATTTTTTATTTTTCTTTTAATTATAAAAAATGAAACAGGGATATAACATTAAAAATATAACATTTTCTGGTTTTTTCTTTTTCTTCAAAAGAGGATAAAAAAATAAATGAAAAACAAAAGATAAAAAATGAATACAAATAAACAATTAGTTAAGGATATTTATAAAATAGGTACGTTTTTAAAAATTTTTTTTTTAATATTTTGTTGTTAGTAATAAAAAGTATATATATTTTGTACAGGATTAGAATATAAGGATGCTATAAATATAGAAAAATTAGAAGAAATTTATGAAAAAAAAAAAAATGTTAAATTAAAAAGAAGTGAAATTGTTTATACTTTAAATATTCTTGAAAATGCAAGAGCTTGCTCAATTAAAAATGAAAATAATACAATTATAACTAGAATGAGAAGTGAAGAAGTTACAAAAAAATTAAAAGAATTAAGTGATATAGATTTTTTAATTTTTACAAAAGTTGAAAATAGTCAAAACAGTGGAATATGGACAGCTGATTTAAGAAAACAAACAAAATTATTAGTAACTTTATTTCATTATCAATATATTTTAAATATTTCATATATACATATTTATATATATATATATATTATTTTATTGTTTTTATTCAATTTTTTATTAACATTAAAATACTTTTTTATTCTACTTATATTTCTTTTTCCTGTATATATTTTTTATAAAAGATGTTTTATATTTTTAGTTAAATATTTTATATATATTCTATATATAATAAATAAATTTTTATATTTTTTTTAAAAGATACATCAAGTTCAAAAAGGTGTAAAATTATTATGTGAAAATAAATTAATAAAACAAGTAATAAAAAAAAAAAAAAAAAACAAAGTTATAAAATTTTAACTTTAAAAAATATAATATATTTTTATTTTTTTAAGGTAAATAATATTCATGTTAAAAATCGTAAAATGTATATTTTGTATGATTTAGAAGCTTCAGAAAAAGTAAAAATATTGGATAGAAATGATTAATTTTATTATTATTTTTTTTTTGTTTTAAAATATATATTTTTATTATTATTTTTTTTTTTTTTTTAGGTAATAGGAGGATCATTTTATACAGATGGAGAATTTAATAAAAAAGTTGTTGATTATATTAGAGAAAATATTTGTTTTTATTTATACAATAATAATAATTCAAATGTTACATCAGTAATTAATTATATTAAAAAACTTAATAGTAGTGTTGGTTTTTTTTCAGATAGTGATATTTATAGGGTTATAAAAACATTATTATATGAAGAAAAAATTAAAATATATAAAAATAATAGTAATGATGAAATAATTTATTATTATAATAATGAAAACAAAAAATTTCTAAATAGTTTTCCATGTTTTTCATGTGAAATTTTTAATAAATGTAATTCAGATACTAAAACTACTATTAACCCTAAAAATTGTTTATATTTAAATTTTTACCTTAACTTAGAAGTAATATATATATATATTATTATCATTTTATTAAAAGAAAATCATTAATTCATTTGACCATTTTATATTTTATATATTTTCATCTTTTATTTATATATTTTCATCTTTTATTTATATATTATATAAATAAAAAAAAAATTTTTTTTTTTTTTTTCTTTTAGAATGAATAATATGAAAATGAAGGATACAAATAAAAAAATTAAAAAAAATTAATTACTATTCATATAAATGTAAAATAGGAAAAAAAAAAAAAAAAAAAATTAATATTTTTTAATACTATTTTAAGTTTGTTTTTTATTTTTATTAAATATATTTTAAATAAATTGATATATTTTTGTAAAACCCATTTTTAATAATATTCTTTTAAACCTTTTTTTTTTTTTTTTTTATGTTATAAAATTTTTTTTTTTAATATTGATGTGCACTTAAGAAATTAGAAAAAAAGACATTTTTTTTTTTATATCAATTTAATTTTTCTATCAATTAAAATAAAAGTTTAAATAACTTTATTTGTTCATTAATTTTATTTTAAATATATTGAATATCATAAAAAAAAAAGAATTATTTTAAAACAAAATGTAAATTATTATATTATAATTATTAAATGTAGAAATATAATTGAAGTGGAAAAAAAAAAAAAAAAAAAAAACTTTATATGATAATTGAAGAAAAAAGAAATATGTTAAATAATATTCGTATAAAAGAACAAAAGCTAATACAGTAAGATAAATATTTGAAATTTTTTTAGTTGTTATAATTCATTTACCTTTTTATATGAAGTATAATATTTTTTTACATTTTCTATATATATATATATATATATATATATATATGTCTAAAGGGACAAATGTGAAATATCTAGAAATGATTGTGAAGAATTTATAAGAATTGTAAAAAAGTATTAAAAATATAAAAAAAAAAAGAGATATTATTATAAAGATAGAATAATTATAATAATGCTTGTTATAATAACACGAAAAAGTTCTAAAACTAATACTATTTTTATAAAGATTATTTATCTTTTTTTTTTTTTTTTTTTTTCATAAATAAAGGTATAGTAATTTTTTTGATAAGAATGACTTAATTAAATATTGTAAGTCTAATAATATTCCATTGAATGAGTAAGCATATATTAAATTAAATTACATATATATATATATATATATATATATATATATATATATATATATATATATATATATGTATATAATTTATTTTAATATTTACAAAGGGATACTATCAATTGTATGTTTGAAGAATTGATCATTAATAAAAAGATAAAGTACTAAAAATAAAATATGAAATAAAGAATAAAAAATAAGATATGAAAAATATAAAAAAAAATTATAATATATTTTTAGATCCAATAAAATCAATGTAGATGATTTAATTTCCTTAATTTCAAAAAAAAAAAAGAGATGCTTTTATATACCTATTGTTACTTATATAGGTAACTATAATTTTAAAAAATTCATTATACTACTTGAATAAATTATTTTTTTTTTTTTTTTTTTTGATACAAAAAATTAACAAAACTATTTTTTCCATTTTAGGAAAGTGGAATTATTTGATGAATTATGAAAAAGAATTGAAAAAAGAAATGGATTTAAATGAAAAAGAAAAGAAGAGGGAAAAAGATAAGTTAAAAAAACAATACAAAAAAGATGAAAACGATAAAAAAGAAAATGAATTAAAAAGATATATTTCAGAAGATAAAATATTCATCCTTCATAATGATAATGATGATGATAATGATAATTTAACATCACTTAATAATGAGGAAATGATATTAGAAAATAGAAATATGAAAGAATATAAAAATGACAATAATTATTTTGAAATAAAAGAAAATATAAATAATAACGAAAATCACGAAGGAAAAATTTTAAAAGAAAAATTAGACAAAAAAATAAATATAGAATTATATGAAAACAAAGAAAAAAATAATAAAAAGTCATTTGTTCAATCAAATAATAAATATAAAGAAAATTCTAGAAAAATTGATAATGTTAAAATGAAAAAACTTACTTTAAATGAAAAAAATAAGAATATTCAAGAAAAACAATACAAAAAATATGAAAAAAAAGAAAATGAAAATTTGATTGAATCAAATGATAAAAATGAAGAAAACAAAAAAAGTTATTATGAATTATTATTACAAAAGGTTCTAAATAATAAGCAAAAAAAATGTAAAAAAAAGGAATATTTAAAGTCATTTCATTTAGTTATTCATTTTAAATTAAATGAATTAATATATATTTCTTATTTGATTGAAAAATACTATAATTATTATAATAGTAATAATAAAACGTAAAATTACAATAATTATTTTTTATTTTATATAATTTTTTATCTATCTTTTAATATTAAATTTAATTACTTCTTCAATAGAAATCTCTTTTTTTTTTTTTTTTTTTTTTTTTTTTTTTTTA